GAGGAAGGAGGAGGAGGAAGAGGAGGAGGAGGAGGAGGAGGAGGAGGAGGAGGAGGAGGAGGAGGAGGAAGAAGAAAAATCACAACTTGATTCCCACTGTTTAGCACTGGGAAAAAGTCTTCCTGTGTCAGAGAAAAGGCTTATTTCTTTCAAATGTAGTCACCATTCTTCAGCAGCTTGTCCCCCAATGATGCAAGCAATGTGTTTGCAGGATGCCTCACAAGGCTACCCACAGGTGGTCAGAGGTAAATGTGAGCTCCGCATTGTAAAACCTCAGAACTCTAAGGATCTGGCAGACTTCTGTTACCTCTGTACACATGGAGGACTGAGGACATCCTCAGGATGATTGCCTTGCTGAAGGAAAGCACAAATGATTTTGTGCTCTCTAGAAGAAGAGATGGGAGAGTAATCACTAATATCAGAGCTCTCCACGTAGTTGTAATACAAAGTATGGCATGTAGTTAAGTCAGACTTTGGGAAGCTTAAATTTATGTTATAGGATATTACAATACCCCAAACTCTGAGTATTTTATGTAATTTCATTGCTAGAAAATAACTTGCAAAAACAGCTTTATAGTAGTGATCTACTTGTGCACAACAAGGGGGAAAGAAGAACTATGTCCTCCATACAAAGCCCTGTAGGTAGCTTTTGTAGTGGTTTTATTTGTATTACCTAAATCCAAGTGCCCCTTAACAACACACTGGCAGACCCACACAACAGAGAAGCCCTCTGCAGGGAAAAGTGAATGAATTGTGGCTAATGCAGCAACATGGGTCAATTGAAAATAGTTGTGCTAAGTGAAAGAAGCCAAACAAAATGAACATGCACAGCATTAAAACATAACGATATAACATTCTTGAAACTGCAAATTCAACTTGAGTGAAAGAAGGAATATTAGCAGTTGCCTAGTGAGGCCAAGAATTAAGGGGACAGGGAAGAACTGGGGAGAGGAAATTACAAAGAATGGCTAGGAGGTAATATGTATTTTTCAGGTGCCAGTAGTAGGGATGGCTGTGTGGATACATACATACATACAAACATACATGTATGTATATGTAAGTGTGTACAATGTATGTATAAGTATATACATATATATGCTACATGGATATATATGCTTATATATATACTTATAAATTATATATTTAAGATTATAGTCAGCTTAATGCATAGCAGTTCCATGTCAATAAATTGTTAAAGAGAACATAGCCTGAGTTATGTCCTTGCATGCATCATTGTCCTTCTTGTTCCTCACTTATAAAGGAGGGCACTGGCTTGGAAAAAGCACAGTATCAGCCAGATTTATTCATAAACCAGTACAGTAACATGTGGCTGACAAAAATAGGCAAACATTAACTAGTAACACATGAAAAGAAGTTATTTTGTTAAATAGTATGAGAAATAACAAAACCAATCTTTATTAAAAACCAAACACCTTATTAGGGCAGTGAGGTGGCTCTGGCAGTAAGGGCACCTGCTACAAGATAACAACTAGACTCTTGACTTCCAGGACCCACAGGATAGAAGGAAAGAACCAACTTCAGTGAGTGGTCCTCTGATTCCACACACAAGCCTTAGCATGTTTACCTCCACAGGCATACAGCTCAGTTCTCCACAAATACTCTGAATACTCTGGGAATGTTAAACCTAAGCACCCTTTATCCAGTTTGAGTGTTAGAGAGTGAACTGTTGTTTGCATGGTGGGTTTGGGGACTGACACCATGAGGGTTCTAACGGGATTCAGGCAGTCAGCTGAGGTCACTCTTTGAGATCACTCCACAGCAAGGTCATCTTGCGAAGTCGCTTAGTGATGTCACATAGCCAAGGCATCCTAGAGTGCCAGTATGCTCTGAATTTTCACCCCACTATTTTTTCTCTCACCTCTAGCTAGAAGACGAAATCACAACATTACGGCAAGTTTTGTCAGCAAAAGAAAGACATCTGGTTGAGATCAAACAGAAACTCGGCATGAACCTGATGAACGAGTTAAAGCAGAACTTCAGCAGGAGCTGGCACGACATGCAGACCACAACTGCGTGAGTATCTCTGAGTATCTCACAGAACCTGAATTAAGTTAGGGAGTCTGCTGTCCACTGGCTGTGCTTCTGTGTTTCCTCTCCTGTTTCTCTTACAAGGTTGATTTGGTGCTTGCAGCATGAAGAAGATATTTTCTTTAGGAGCAAGTTAATGAAATATGAATGATTATTAAGTATATTGTATGTAAAGTAAACTATAAAAGAACTTCCTGCAATAAACTTCTGTTGATTAAAACTCTTAATTCCAGGAGCTAAGGATGTATGTAGCTCAGCTGGTAGAGTACTTGCCTAGATACAGGAAATTCTGGTCTCAGTCGTTAATGCTGCATGAAGGTGTGATGGATATTCTTTCCCTTCTAACACTGGAGAGGTAAAGGTAGGAGGATCAGAAATTCAAGATCATCCTCAGCTACAAACTAAGTTAGCCTGAGAGACACCAGACCCTGATGCAAAAACTAACCAAACAACTCAATTTAGACTATTTTTGTTGTTGTTTCATTTTTAGATTTTATTATAAAAATTTTGCAAAAGAAAATCATACCAAAATTAATCTGTTCCAAAGTCTATATGTATCACAGTGACCTTCTATCCAGCTAAAATAGCCATTTGAAAAAGATGCTGTGTACACTGGATTTTATTCTTTCACTATCAAATGTATTTTAGTACACTTATCCACTACCAAACCCAAAAATTCTATGACAGAGTTAGAACTACAAAAACAAGTAGCTTTATATCTTCTTTCATAATCGTGTCCATGATCCAAATTCAGTCCCCTAACATTCAGCCTTTCTTGTTCCTCTTTCTACATGTTGTGTCCCCCCACCTACATATTTATTTTGGGGTAGATTTTGCATAAGAGGGGAATATGAAGTATTTTTATTTCAGAGATTATGTGATCTCACTTATTACTCACTATAAGACCTTCCATTTTCCTGAAATTTTTCTGATTACATTTTCTTTAATGCTAACTAGATAGTATTCAGTATTCTATTAGTTCATGAGTGTGCATGTGTGTGTGTGTGTGTGTGTATGTGTGTGTATGTGTTGGATTTTCATTATTCCATTTATCCGCTGATCAATAATTAGGTTGATTTCAACTTTTTGCTATAGTGAATGAAGCAGCAATAAAATTGGGGTACAGATATCTCTGTGGTAGGTAGTGGGGTTCTCTGGGTATGAAATAGCTGGGTCATATGTAAGTTCTATTTTTAATATTTAAAAAAATCTCAAAACAGATTTTCACAATGGCTGCATTAATTTGCATCTCACCAATAGTGAATAAATATTCTTACCTTTGCACATCCTTTCCAACATTTGTTGTCAGATTTATTGATGTTAGCCGTTCTGACTGGAGGGAGTTAGTAGCTCATATCTTCTGGGAATGGGCAGAGCTTTCCCAAGAAATGAGGAGCCTTTGCACACTTGTTACCGATCATTCTGATTCTGTAACCTTGGTGATTGTTTATTATCATGGGGTGGTGAGGTCAGGTGACTTGGCATTAGGATGGGACTTCTTGATAATTAAACTATTTTTCTTGTTAGGTGACCTTACAAGAAAAGGGGTTTTACATAAGAGATTTTTCTTCTTTTTTGTTTGTTGAATATTAGTAGCTGATAGGCAATCAGAGGGACTTCATGTCCAAATCCTTAACTTTAGCCCCAAATCCAGCCACCAACACTCTTTGTCTTTGAGTTATACATTTCCTACTCCATTCAGTGAAATATAAAGATCCTGTCTTCACCTATGTCTTATACCTGTGGGAATCAGTTCTCTCTGTAGTTCTTTGCTCCTGGGCTCAGTGCCTGGTAGCAAGAAGTACCGATGATTGACAGCAATTATTTCAATTTTCTGTGAGACACTAATTTCACCTGCTAGCTCTGAAGCAGCAATGCCCAAGACCTTTTGGTGCTGTGTGAAGATGCCCTTTGTATGAGGTTTCCCAGAGTAGGCACCTTGGTTTCCCTGGGAATAGTTGTTTCTCTTTGCCTGCAGTGTGGCTCAACTGCCTTCCAGGTTTCTATGTGTGTGCACCCAAAACTTCATCTAGCTAGGATAATGGAGGACAAGATGGAGCCACAGGTCTTTGAAGTTCATCTCCAGAGGCTAGCTAACCAACCTTCCCTCGTCAGATGATGACAGATATAAAAAAAGAGACTATAAACCACATGCCTGTGTGCATTAATTTAAAATAAGTACTAGAACAACATCTATAGAGAAAATACCTTGTGTCTGTATGGATATGGTACCTGCCAATAATAAATTTGATTGCCTATAGCTTAGGCAGGAAATAGAAGGTGGAATATCCTGCAGGCAGAAAGGATGCTGGGATAGTGTCAGGCAAGAGATTCGCTGGGAAGATGTGACAAGACAGATGCATGGTACTTAAGCACAAGTTACCAGCCACATGGTAAAATGTAGATTAGAATAAATGGGTTATTTTAAGTTATGAGCTAATCAGAGATGAGCCTAGCTATATGGCCAAGGTATTTGTAAATATGTTTTGAGTCTGCATCTTGTTTCCGGGAGCACAGGGCTGGGAGGAAGAGCCAGACAGACCTAACTTCAACAATCATATGAGCAACCTCCAGAAAAGGACAATGGGGTGCTAGGCACTAGAAGAAAAAAGCTTATCTATCAGTAATCTGAGCTTCTGTTTTTGCCTTTTGTGACCAGTAGCAATGAGTTGCCCTGATAGTGTTTGACTGAACACCCTCCAGTTCCCTGGCTCTGGTTGCCTCTGTATTTATTTAGGTCTCTTGGCTTCAAGTCGTACTGATGTGAACTTCCCTCTGGGGTGTAAGAATAGAAAGGATTGTTTCATCTGGTCTGGACAATCATTTCAGGGATCGGATAACCAAATGTGGACCGAGTACTTTTCTGGCTGAAGATGGGGAGGAAGAAGAGGAGGGAATAGTTGTGCAGGGTGTGTCCATAGTGTCAAGCTGTGAAGGGGACAGGAAGAGGACAAGGCATCTGTATCCTGAATGTGGAATCACAGCAGAGAGGTTCCAGGAAGTGTTCTAGACTAGTCATATGGGGAAAAAAATGGGTAATCTCTCTTTTCTCAAGTTTGAAGAAGAAATTGGTGTAGCCAAGCAGTCTTCTTGGTGTAAAAGATGAATAGCACAAATTCAATGCCTGGGGTTATGGAGTTTACAATATACTCAGAAAGATAAGAATTTTGTTTGTTTGTTTTTTTATGAATGATAAATACAGATCACTGCAGGAATGTGAAGTGGAATAGGAGCTTTGCCTGGGGATATTGCCCCTCTAGGGACAAAGCAGGGTTCCTAAGGAGTCCTCAGAATATAATCAGTCTAAGAGAGACAGGTGGTGGCACTTGAGGGTGACACACATTGATGATGGCTCAGCAGAAGAGAAGGCTCTACCCCTAGGAAAAGCATTTAGTTAGTATGCTTGCTCAGTTAATAGAGTTAACTTTCTTCTGCAGGGAATAGAAAGCCATTAAAGGGTCTTAACCAGTCATTTATCCAACTAGAGCAAGTAAATGTCTAGTATTAGGCATATATTACCTACAGGCTAATCTAGACCCCAGAATAAGAGGATTGACATGGTGCCTACTTTTCATTCAGCATTGAACGGGAGAAAAATGAGCGAGAAACAAGTAATGAAATAAACAAGCGGGGAGCTGCCAGGGAGGAAATACCAGGATGGACTGTGAGGAAGCCAGCCTCCGGGGATTGGCCAGTGAGAGGAGGAGAGGGTGAAAGCTGTGAGGATGGAATCCCAGTCAGGAAAATCTTGTTCTAGACCCTGATTCCAGTTGAGACTTGAAAGACTGGAAATGTCCAGTGTTTAACGATCTAGGGAAGAACTTTCAGGATCAGAAAAAGTTGTTACAAAGACTCTAAGGCGGGAACTAGCTTTTCAGTTTTGGTGAGTCAAAAAAAATGTCTCTTAAAAAGTCTAGACAGTATGTCTGTGGTATGTTGAGATGAGAGCATGGTCCCTGAGGCCTCTTGGGCAAGTGATAATTTAATGCCAAGAGCTTTAGATGCTACTGGAAGATTTGGAGCAGGAAATGACCTGGGTTGACACACATGTATGAATCATTTCCGTTAGATTACATAATAGATTGTGGAGGGGTACGGGCGTTAGGATAAAGTGACAAAGATTTGGCAGTCACACCATGCAACAGACCTAGAGCAAGAGGTTTATTGGGGGAGGGAGGAGAATTAAAGGGTGTCTTGGAGTAGAAAGAGTGGGAGAGACAGAGGACAAACAAGACAAAGAGAGGAGGCAGGCGGGGGAAGGAGGGCACACATGAGCACAGCTGAGAGCTATATGGGGTGACCCAGGCCTTTTTATGTGCCTCACCTGACAGTAGCAGGTGATGACACAAATGACCGCTGCTGAGTCACTGAAAGGCAGGTTGGCAAGAGCGCCATATTTACAACAGTGGTCGGGAATCGGAAAAGCATCTCTGAGTCTGTTGTAAGGGGGAGGCATGGAGAGCGGGGCAAGAATCTGGAGGTCAGTCTGACAAGAAGTCCCAGTGGTTTGGAAGTAAATGCTGACGGAAGCAGAGTGATTGAGTGAGACCCACTTGTAGGCTTGGACTACACAATACCCATTCCGCTTGCCTCAATGTCAGGGGAGCATTACTGTGGATCTCCCAGGCTGCAGATATGTCAGCCTGGATTCTGTGTACACAGGGAATAAGACCATGTCAGTACCAGGGTGAGTGATTTAGTGAGTTAAATATTGTAGGCAGATGGTGTCTAATGCTTTGTTGGCCTGTGGTGACTCTGTGCTCTCATTAGGAAGACTGAGACACAGAGGTAGAGTTGACACTCAATGAATGACCCGTTTTGATCGTGTTTGAACTACCCCATAAGCAAATTTCAAACTGATAGGACAACTTGACAAAAGTTAAAGGCAGAGATGTGTGCGTGTGTGCGTGTGTGTGTGTGTGTGTGTCTGTGTGTGTTTAGTATTTGCTCATGGATATCATTGTTGATCTGGCCTTGGAGATTAT